AAATTTGAGGCCAACCTCAGTAATTTAGGGAACTGTTTGGGATGTAAATATTTAAAAAAAGATGTAATTCAAAACAAAGGTAACAGAAAAAGAAAGCATCTTTATAGATTAACATGAAAGATCACTTAAGGATAATTTACTTTTAAATCTTTTTTCTTTTTTCAAAAAAGCATTATAGGAAGTTGAACCTGTGGCCAATGCATGTGTCGCAAAGCTACTTCATAGCTCTGTTGTCCGTATTACTACCACTACTACTACTACACTTTGGTACTGAGGATTGAACCCAAGGATGCTTTGCCACTATGCTATATCCCCATCCCTTTTTAAAGTTGCCCAGGTTAACCTCCAACTGGAATCTTCCTGCCTCAGCCTCTGGAGTGCTAGGATTATAGGTGTGCAACATAGCTCTCGACTATTTTTAATTGTTTTTTTCTTTTAACAGTACTGGAGAGGAATAGTCTCAGCATGCACATTCTTAGCTTATGCTGTACCCCTGAGTTACATTCCCAGCCTGTTTATTTTTTCTTACTACCAAATTATAAGAGTACATGGCATTTTGTTATCCATACATCAGTTGGTGAATATTTTTTTGTTTCATTTTTTTTGGCTATTAGGAATAATACTGCTATGAACATATTATGTATGTATAAGTTTTGTGTGGATAGTTTTGTATTTCTCTTAGGTTATACCTAAGAATCGAACTACAGTACTGTATGCTATTTGTTTTTGTTGGCATTTAACCTTTCAGGAACTGCCAAGCTGTTTTCCAAAATGGCCTTGCAGTGAATGAGATCTCCAATTTCTCTATATCCTAAAACTCTCCAGTAATGTTAACCTAGGGTTTGGTGGTGTACTCCTAATCCCAGCAACTCAGGAGACTGAGGCAGGAGGATCACAATTTCTAGGCAGTCTGGACAGTTTTTTAAAGGAAACCCTATTTTATCGAAAAGGGGAAAAAAAACAGGGGCTGGGATTATAGCTTGGTGTAGAGCGCTTGCGTAGTAGTATGTTGAGGCACTGGGTTCAATCCTCAGCAGCACATAAAAATAAATAAATGAATAAAAGGTATAAAGAAAATGTATCTGTTTAAAAAAAAAAGGACTGAGGATGTAGCTCCACAATAGAGCTCCCCTGAGTCCTTTTTTTTTTTTTTTAATGTTTTTTTTTCAGTTTTTGGTGGCCAAAACATCTTTGTTTGTATGTGGTGCTGAGGATCGAACCCGGGCCCCACGCATGCCAGGCGAGCGCGCTACTGCTTGAGCCACATCCCCAGCCCAGCTCCCCTGAGTTCTATCCCTGGTACTATCAGGGGAAAAAAAAAAACCCAAATTTTTTATTTCTGGTTATAACCTATTCTTGTAAGAATTAAATCTTCATTTTTGCGATTTTTTTTTTTTTCATTTGTTTTTGGCGCTGGGGATTTAACCTAGGGGCACTTTACCACAGAGCCATACCCACAGCCCTTTTTATTTTTTAATTTTGAGAACAGGGTCTTAGTAACATGTCAAGGGCCAGGGCCTGGCTAGGTAGCAGAGGCTGGCCTCCAACGTGTGCTCCTCCTGCCTCAGTCTCCTTAATTGCTGGGGTTATAGGTATGTGCCATTGCACTTGCATATCTATCTTGTGGTTTTGATTTTCTTTTCTATTGATGATATGCATTTCTTCACATGCTTTGGCTATTTATATATCTATGTAGAAATACATTAACATTCTTTAAACTATCTTAATTCTTCCCTGGAATCAAGAGCTATAGGGGGATGGGGTGTGGGGTAGTCAGTTGTGGAGACCTTGATGGGAAGTTCTGGCGAGAGATGACTGTTTCCACCTTATGGGGTCCTCCATGTGGGGGACTGGTATTTTGCAGCACAGCTTAGGTGTGGAAGCCTGATGGTCCTCGGCCCATTCTGGGCTTAGGGAAAATAGTGAGCCCCGTCTATACAGCATATAGGCTGCTTGCTTGTTTCTGAGCTTCAGTTTCCATATCTGAAAATGCACACCGGCCCCCCATGCACACAGGAAAAAGCGCCCATGACTTGTGGCTTCTGGCCTATTTATTGAGTGGATGACCAATAAGTGATATGTATTGCTTATAGAAGTAAAGGAGCAAAGAGAGAATCCAGGGAATTGGGAAGTGCTGGAAGGGATCAGGAGCTCCAATGCAAATGAGAAACTCATTAGGATGAAGTGGGCATTGCTTCTTTCCTTCAGATGAGAGTTCTAGCCATCTCATTTAGGTAGACAAGTACGCCAGGGGCATTGATAACCATTGTGGATTGATAACCAAAGGTTCTGTTCATCCATCTCTGCAGTAGTCAGTCCACTCACCCTCTTAAACATCCACCCATGTATTCTCCAGCCTGCCAGCTAATTACAATGGAATGGTCACTAGGAACATGTTTTTTGTCCATTTCCATTTTTAGTTTCATGCCATCTTTTCCTTGTCCTGTTTTTATTGTGTAGGCAAAGTTAATAACTGATATCCTCCTCCCCCCATTATGGGGATGGAACCTAGGGCCTCTGCATACCAAGGAAGTGCTCAGACACTGAACTGTGTCTCACAGGCTCAATAACGGATAGTTATTTAGGGCTTCACATGTGCGAAGTACAGTGTTAAATGCTGTACATGTAATATCCAAATTCTTAAAATAGCTTTGCTGGTTGGTACATGTAATCTCAGGAACTTGGGATGTTGAGGCAAGAGGATCGCTCACAAGTTTTAGGCCAGCCTCAGCAAGTTAGTGAGAACCTGCCTAAGAAGGGCTGGCGATGCAGCCCAGTGGTGGAGTGCCCCTAGGTTCAATCCCCAAGAATGCAAAGAAACAATCAAAAAACACCACTATAATGGGAATGAAGCTTCTGATATTTTTATAGATGAGGAAACTGGAAATTGGGCTCCTAAGTAATTTGCCTAAGATCATAATTATTATCCTGAGGCTAATGAAAACAATTTTTCTTTATACTGGGGATTGAATCCAGGCACATTTTTATCACTAATAAGTCCTAATTATTTTAAGGCTGGGTATTGCTAAATTGCCCAGGGTTTCATTACATTGCTGAGGCTGGTCTCAAACTTGAGATCCTTGTACCTTAGCCTCCTGAAACACTGGGATCACAGGTATGGGCCACTGCCCTGAATAGCCCACATTCCCCACCCTCCTCCCTGTGTTGCGGATTGATCACAAGGCCTTGCACATGTTAGGCAATTCTCTACCTCTGATCTGCAATCCCAGCTCATTTCATTTTATTTTGAGGTGGGGTCTCACTAAGTTGCTCAAGGCTGGACTTGATTCAATCATTCTGCCTTAGTCCCCTGAATAGCTGGGATTACAGGCATGGGCTACCATGTGCAGGGAGTATTAAATTACTATTATTATTGGTACTGGGGATTGAATGCAAGAGTGTGTAACCCCTGGGCCTATCCCCAGCCATTGTTTTTTTTTTTTTAAAGAGAGAGGAGAGAGAGAGAGAGAGAGAGAAAATTTTTAATATTTATTTTTTAGTTCTCGGCGGACACAACATCTTTGTTGGTATGTGGTGCTGAGGATTGAACCCGGGCCCCACGCATGCCAGGCGAGCGCGTTACCGCTTGAGCCACATCCCCAGCCCATTGTTGTGGAGGTTTTTTGGTTGTTGTTTTGGGATAGAGTCTCACTATGTTGCTTAAGGGCTTGCTAAGTTGCTGAGACTGGCCTGGAATTTGTGATCCTCCTGCATCAGCCTCCCAAATTGTGGGATTACAGGTGTGTGCCACTGCACCCAGCAAGTATTAAGTTCTTTAATAATAAATCACTGGGCTCTTAACTTCAGTTCTTAGACTTTATAATTTCTTTCAGAATTGGTGACATAGCTGTGTTATAAATGTAATGATCACTACATGCATTTTTAGTTTAAAGTAAGCTCATCCTCACTTGAATATTATTGTTTTAAGCCAGTGATTTCAAAATGGTAGATTCATCATTTATAAGGATCAGAAAAAGTACCCAACTAGTAGCATCAGAATATTTGAGTAGAATTTTTTTCTTTTCATTTTTGGTGCTGGGAAATGAACCCTTGGTTCAATTGCTAGAAAAGAGGAGGAAAAAAGTCTTTGTTATATAGTGGTCAATAGTGAATATTGTTACATTGTTAGTGACAATGTATTTGCTCTACCACCAAGCTGCACTCCCAGCTATCTATCTATTTATTTATTTATTTTGGGGGGCAGGTTCTCTTTGAGTTGCTGAGGTTACCTTGAACTTAGGATCCTCTTTCACCAGCCTCCTGAGACTCTCGCATTTCAGACATGCACCACCATGCTATTGAACCCAGGGGCATGTAACTATTGAGCCGCATCCCCACCCCTCTTTATTTTCTATATTGAAACAGGGTCTTGATGAATTGCTTAGGGCCTCACTGAGTTGCTGAGGCTGGCCTTGCACCTGCAGTCCTCCTGCCTCAGCCTCTGTAGTTGCTGGGATTATAGGTGTGTGCCACCATACCTGGCAGAAGAATAATTCTTGTTAAATATTTCTTGATACATTAGCCAGATAATAGTTTAGTTTTTAATGTAATAATATTTGACATTGTGCCAGGTATGGTGACTCATACCTATGATCCCAGTGATTTAGGAGACTGAGACAGGAGGATATTGGAAGTTTGAGGCCAGCCTCAGCAATTTAGCAAGACTCTGTCTCAAAATAAGACACAAAGGGCTGGGGATGTGACTCAGTGGTATGGGGGATGGGATATATATATATATTCACTAAAAATTGAAAAGGGCTATAAGAATTCAGAAAGCCAACAGTATTTAGTTTGTCAGCAAAGTTAAAATATATATATAGTAAATTCTAAAATGAACCATTTATATTTCTGATGTTTGATAAGTTGAGGCTCTGATAGATATAAGAGGAAAAAGTCTTTATTATATAGTGGTCAGTAGTGAATATTATTACATTGTTAGTGACAATGTATTTGACTTATTTTGTTATATTTAAAAACTTTTCGTTGTTATTGTTTTGCAGGAGAACGCCCATATAAATGTGAACTTTGTCCTTATTCAAGTTCTCAGAAGACTCATCTAACTAGACATATGCGTACTCATTCAGGTTGGTAGAAAATGGGAACTTTCCCACCATTTTCAGTAAGCTGATGTTATTTTTTTAGAAAGTACTATTATAAAGAAGTTCTTTTTGTTATCATTTTTAGTATTGGGGATTGATCCTAGGGGTGCTTTGCCATTGAGCTACAGTACATCCCCAGCCCTTTTTAAAAAATTTTTAGACATGGTTTTGCTAAGTTGCTGAGGCTTACCTCAAACTTACAGTTCCCTGCGTTAACCTCCCAAGCTGTAGACACCACCATGCCCAGCTTTATTTATTTTGAGACGGTATCAAAAATTGCCCAGGCTGGCCTCAAAACTTGTGATCCTCTAAGGTCCTCCTGACTCACCCTCCTGAGTCTCTGGGATTGTAGGGTTTTTTTCACTATGCCCAGCTTGCTTGCTTATTTGCTGTATTTTTGAGTCTGTGGATTGAATCTAGGGGTGCTTTTTATTAGTGAGCTACATCTCCAGCCCTTTTTATTTTATTATTTTGAGTCAGGGTCTTGCTAAGTTTTTGAGGCTGCTCTTGAACTTGAGATCCTCCTGCCTCAGCCTCCCAAATTGCTGGGATTACAGGCATGCACCACTGTGTCCGGCTTTAAATGGGGATTGTTAACCTGAATTCTGTGGGTGGGACTCCTAAAACGGAATATAATTTTTTTTCTATATGCATATTTTTCTAGGAGGATTTTTTGTTTTGTTATTGTAGTACTGGGGGATGAAGTCAGGAATGCTTTCCCACTGACCTACATCCCTAGTCTGTTATATTTTTTATTTTGAGGCAGAGTCTTGCCACATTGTCATGATTGGCCCCCTTCAGCCTCCCAAATAGCTGGGATTACAAGCATGTACCCCTACATGTGGGTTCTTCTAAATCTGAGCTATCGGGTTGTGCCCCTTAATCAGAATTTTTGTTTTATTACTTCTGAACACTTCCTGACTTCATTCTCCAAGGGTAACTTGGATTTAATATCAGGCTTGGTTAATGGTAGACATTGTGTCATGTGGATAGCTGTACTCTAGCCAACACATAAAATGTTTAAGTGCTTTATATAGGTTAATTCATCTTAGCTTTATAAATATTATTATGTTGTAAAGTTCTACTATTCTCATCTTACAGAAGGCAATATTAAGGCATTGAAGAAATATGGCCATTTTTCCTGTGGAATGTCTTCCCTTCTAGATGTCTGATTGCTTTCTCATGATGTCATTTTGCTTTTCTTCTGTCCCTTTTTTATTTTTTATTTTTTGAACTTAACATCCCTCTACCAGTGAGCTGCATCCCCACCCCTTTTCAATTTTTGAGAAAGGGTCTCTTAAGTTGCTGAGGCTGGCCTCAAAATTTGCAATCCTCTTTCCTTAGGTTCTGAAGTTCCTGGGATTACAAGGGTGTCGTCTATCACTGCGTTCAGCTTCTTTGTATTACTTGTAAATTGAAAATTAAAAGCTTAATATCTTCCTTGGGATGTGTTTAATCTGAAGCCACATCTAGTGGACCCATTGTGATGAAGGGTCACTGGGTTAGGATGATGATACTTGTGTTCTTTTTGTATACTCATTAAATGTTTATGGTCTCTTTTTAAAATTGATAGTATATTTTATTGTTTAGGAAATAATGACAGGAAAAAGTCTACCTACTCAGTAAATACATAATCTTTTTCTTATATACTTTAAATATGGAATTGTTTAAATTCATGGATACAAAACCTTTAGATATAGAGGGCTGATCACTTTATTTTATTTATTTATTTTTTGTATAGGAATTGAACTTAGGTGCTTAACCACTGAGCCACATCCCCAACCCATTTTGGGCAGGATAGGGGCTTACTGGGGATTGAATTTGGGGCACTTGGTCACTGAGCCACTATATCCCCAGCCGTATTTTGTGTTTTATTTAGAGAGGTCTCACTGAGTTGCTTAGTGCCTGGCTTTTGCTGGGGCTGGCTTTGAACTCACTGTCCTCCTGCTTCAGCCTCCTAAGCCACTGGGATTATAGGAATGTGCCACCACGCCCCACCCCAACCCATTTTTGGGATAAGGCTCTTTTTAAAAAATATTTATTTATTTATGTATCTTTTGTTTTAGTTGGACACATTATTTTGTTTTTATGTGGTGCTGAGGATCAAACTCAGTACCTCATGCATGCTAGGCGAGCACTCTACCACTGACTGAGTCACAACCCTAGCCTAAGATAAGGGTCTTGCTAAATTGCTTAGGGCCTTATTAAGTTGCTCAGGCTGGTTTTGAACTCATGATCCTCCTAAAACAGCCTTCTGAGCTGCTGGGATTATAGGTGTGCACCACTGCATCTGGCTATATAGTTTACATTTTATAATTATAATCTTCAGTATTAACCTAGGAGGCCATATTAACTTTCTGCTGCCTTTTTTGGTGCCTTGTGTACCTGCTGAGTTAGTATCTTTGCATGAAACAAATATATTTGAATTTACCTGATGTTTGGTATTTTGCTTGCTTTTCTTTTTTGTGGTACTAGGGGTTTAACCCAGGGGTGATCCATCACTGAGCTACACTTCACCTTTTTTTTAAAAAAAAGGTGGCGGGGAGTTAGGGATGTTGCTCTGGTAGAGTACCCCTGAATAAAACCAAGAAAACAACCCTTCCCTCTTTTTTTGTGATGTCCTGGGGATGGAACCAGACATGTATGCTAGCTAGGCAAATGCTGTACCACTGAGATTCATCTCCAGCAATTTTTTTTTTTTTTAATTATTTAGACGGGGTCTTTTTAAATTGCCTAGGCTGGCCTCAAACCCAGTATCTTCTTGCATCAGCCATTCAGGTGGGTGGGATTACAGAGTGGGTGGGATTTCAGGCATGTCCCACCTGGCCTAACTTGTATCTACATATGTTAAGGAAATGTTGTCTCCATTTAGATCATTCATGACCCTGTAGAGTCAACTATAGAGTAGCATGTTGTGGAAACCACATTCTGACATTAAAAAGAGTTGTCTAATTAGTGACATATCTAATCTGACATACCTGGAGAAGTGTATTTTTGTGATTTAGTATTATATAATAATTTTCTAATCATGGAAAGCTTAACATCTACATGGTTTTGCTATATTTCTGAATTTTTGCTTTATGAAAAACTTATAAGATTGATATGAATTTGAGAATGTTTGAGAGATGAATTTTCATAAATGTTAATTTCCATTTCTCTACTATGCATTCCATTGGACCAGTGGGGTATGGATACCATTTGATAATATTTACTAGAAAGTGATCTAGATGGGTATGTATTCAGGTAGAATGTGTTATTCTTATGCCTTTAATTTGGGTTATGGGGGTGGTTCTGGTTTTGTATGTATCTGTGATTATGACTGTTTGCTTGTGTTACAGTATCTATTTGTATGCAGCTTCTCGTGTATCTAGTTGTAAGTGCCCATTTTATAGAAAAGGTGAGAGAGGAAAAAAATCACAGAAGTTTTCTGAATAATTACCTTAGCTATATTTTTACTTTAAAATAGCAGCTTTGGCATTAGAAAGCATGCTGAGTAAAACTTACTGAGCTCTTGCCATAATGAACAAAAGGCTTAAATTTCAAGAGAAAACCTTTCTCTTTATGTTAGGCTACAGCAGAATTTTAAAACCTGGGAGTGTTTCCCAGAGTAAAAGATATTTCTCCCAAGATTTATCTTAGAAAATGTGTGGGAATTTTATAATGTACTCTGTATACATTTGTTTTCCCTTAACAAAAAAGTTTAGAATTATTTTCTCTTGAGTGACATTGCCTCAAAATTAACATCCACCCCCCCGGTTGAGTAATTCCATTTCTTGATGAATCTCAGTTGTTTAATGGTGCTTCAGAGCCTTAACTTTATGGAACTTTTTTGAGGGGTGGGGTACTGAGGATTGAACCCAGGGGTACTTAACCATTGAACTGCATCATCAGCTCTTTTTAATTTTTTAGTTTGAAACAGGGTCTCACCAAGGTGCTGAGCCCTTCACTTAAGTTGAACTTAAGATTCTTCTGCCTCAGCCTCCTAAGTCAGTGAGATTATATGCATGTGCCATTGTGCCCAGCTTTATGGAACATTTTTTGGTTTGAGAATCAGTGTCAAGGGATAGAGAAAAGCTATACAAATAAATACAGTAAATGCAAGGTGCATGATACATTCTTTTCAATAGTGTTTGTGATTATTTTATATGTACAATTTCTTATGAGCATATTTAAATCTTGAATTTGTTTTAATCTGTCTTCTAACATTTCTTATTTATCTTTAGGTGAGAAGCCATTTAAATGTGATCAGTGCAGTTATGTGGCCTCTAATCAACATGAAGTAACCCGCCATGCAAGACAGGTTCACAATGGGCCTAAACCTCTTAATTGCCCCCACTGTGACTACAAAACAGCAGATAGAAGCAACTTCAAAAAACATGTGGAGCTACATGTGAACCCACGGCAGTTTAATTGCCCTGTATGCGACTATGCAGCTTCCAAAAAGTGTAATCTACAGTATCATTTCAAATCTAAGCATCCTACTTGTCCTAATAAAACAATGGATGTGTCAAAAGTGAAATTAAAAAAAACCAAAAAGCGAGAGGCTGACTTACTTGATAACAGTACTACCAATGAAAAAACAGAAACAGAGCAAACGAAAATAAAGGGGGATGTAGCTGGAAAGAAAAATGAGAGGTATGTAAAAGTGGAGAAAAAAGATAATGTTTCAAAAGAGAAAAAACCTTGTAGCAATGTTTCAATGATTCAGGTCACTACCAGAACTCCCAAGTCAGCAACAGAAGCTAAAGACCTGGATGTGCATACAAGAAATAATTCGGAAAAATCCTGTAAAGCCAAGAAAAGCAAAAGGAAGATGGAAACTGAAGCCCATTCCATGCATGATCCTGTGAATGATGAGGAATCTATGACAAAAAAGAAAAGGAAGATAGAAGGTAAATCCAAAAATAGCCAGGAAGTACCAAAGGGTGATAACAAAGTGGAGGAGAATAAAAAACAAAATACCTGCGTGAAGAAAAACACCAAGAAGAAAACCCTAAAAAATAAACAAAGTAAAAAAAGCAGCAAGCCTTCTCAGAAAGACACCTCTCAGAAGGAACCTGTTCAAAAGGAGACTAGTCAGAAGGGGCCTGTTCAAGATGTTCAGAAGGGGCCTCTGCAGGTAGAGTTGCCTCTACCCATGGAACCTGTTCAAGTAGAGCCTGCTCACATGGAGGTGGTTCAGAAGGGGCCTGTTCAAGTAGAGCCTGCTCACATGGAGGTGTTTCAGAAGGGGCTTGTTCAAGTAGAGCCTGCTCAGGTGGAAGTGGTTCACCAGGAGTCTGCTCACATGGAGCTGATCCCTCCTATGGAGACTGTCCACATGGAGGAGGTTGTTCACAAGGGGCCTTCTCACGTGGAGTTGCCCCCTCCTGTGGAGTCTGCTCATATGGAAGAGGTTCAGAAAGGGCCTGCTGAGATGGAGCTGCCCTCTCCTATGGAATCTCCTCTTACAGAGGATGTTCAGAAGGGGCCTCTGCAGATAGAGTTGCCTCTACCCATGGAACCTGTTCAGATGGGGCCTGTTAACATGGAGTCTGTTCAGATGGAAGTTGTTCAGAAGGAGACTGCTCAGATGGAGCTGTCTCCTCCCATAGATCCTCCTCTTCACAATGAGCCAATTCCAAAAAAGACTTCTCCCCGAAAAGATAACAGAAAGGAAAGGTCCAATATGCAGAGTGAAATGACAAGTAAGGAGCAAGTCCTTATTGAAGTAGGCTTAGTGCCTGTTAAAGATAGCCAGATTCTAAAGGAAAATAAAAGCACGCAGGAACTTTTGGCATCATCAACACCACTGCCAAAGGAAGACTTAAGAGAGGAGGAGTCAGAAGACCAAAAATTACTCTCAGAAGTTGAAGGAAACAAAGAAGATCCTTTTCTGAAAGTAGGAACAGAAGAAGCAGAGAACAGTGTAGCCGATTCCTGTACCAAGGAATCTAGTACTAGTGTTTCATCTTCTGGACAAAAGTTGAATATGCCAGGGGGTGAAACTTTAGCTGATAAGCATCAGACTGACTCAGCTATGCTTTGTGAAGTGGAAATGGACACTGATCATAACCCAGCAGAGAATCTCCCTGATAAAGACTCAGCAGTTGGAGAACCAGTTTCACCATTGCTTCTTCCCCCACCAATAGACGAACATGAAGCAGTGTCCCAAACTGTGCTGGCTTCACCTCCTGTTACTATGACAGTAAATGAGTCTCAGGAAATTGATGAAGATGAAGGTATCCACAGTCATGACGGAAGTGACCTAAGTGACAACATGTCAGAGGGTAGTGATGATTCTGGATTGCATGGGGCTCGTCCAGTTCCACAAGAAGCTAGTACAAAAGATGCAAAAGAAGCCTTGGCAGGCAAAGGGACTGGGGGAGATTTTGTTTGCATCTTCTGTGATCGTTCTTTTAGGAAAGAAAAAGATTACAGCAAACACCTCAATCGCCATTTGGTTAATGTGTATTTCCTTGAAAAAGCAGCTAAAGGGCAGGAGTAATTAAAAGATTGGGACAAGGTTCCAGTTCTTAGTTTGTAAGAGCTATTAATTTTTATATTCATTTATAATAGTAGAAAAACCTTTTAAGATTGCTTTAATTAGTGTCGAGTATTGATTTTTAAGAAGCATCCTTTTCCTTAGGACTTCATATATACCTATTGATTGTTGTATAAATTTTAGCAAATCCAAGGGAGTTAGTGTACTAAAAACCAGCAGATACCTAAATCTATTTAGCTTATATGTTCAACTGAAACGAGAAGGCCATGATGATATAATAGCATTCTATTGCTTTGTCCATTTACAACTTGTCATTTTTTTTCTCTATGTCTGTCTTCAATCACTTTAGTTTACTTTTCCTTTTTTACTTAGCTCTATAAAAATTGGCTTAATAGCAAATTACTTGAACAATTTGCCTGCTTTATATAAAGTTAGCACTTTAAGATTTCTTTAGAGATGAAAAAAGACATTTAAATTGAAGAAAAATTAGCCCAACAGTGGACATTGTATCAGTCCAGGTATTTACTTCCTGAGTTTTGATCATTATTTTGTGTTAATTGTCATAAAAACAGTGATTTTGGTGGTTTTTTTTTTATTTTGGTGCTTTAATGGCTTAAGATGTTGCACATTGTTTTTGTTTTTTGTTTTTTTTAACCTATGCAGTTATATTTTTCTAGAAATAGCATTTGTGTTGAGCAGTAACACTTTATACATATATATGCATGTTTATTTTGGCCTCGTCAGAGGAATATTTTTAGGCTTGTTTGCAAAAGGGCAGTTTTTATTTTCTTTGCTGCAATTGTCTTTTTTGCAGAATAATAGTGTGTGCAAGTTTGTGAGCAAATGAAACATGCAGGTTCAATCCATTCATTATGATTTTCATATCTTATACCTATGCCAGAATCTGTATTTCACATTAAGTTATTTATTTTGAATGAATATAGTAAATTCACAGCTCTCTTTCTTGATTTTGCAATAAATAAACCAAGAAGTTTTTATTTTTAAAACACATTTTTATCTCAAATACCAACCATCAGTTACATTATTTTTTAATTTTTTTTTTTGCCTGTTATGGTACAGTTACTTCTTAACTGTAATATTATCTTAAATGGTTGGTGTCTATATGACTCTTAAATGGTTGGTGTCCATGTGGCTACTTAGCTGAATAAAGACCTGTAACTGAGATTTGGAAATTGCAAACCTAGAATTAGGAGACGTAATCATTCCTTCAAGTTGTATGGGACATCACTTGTGAGATTCCAAAGCCATAGCTATTATACAGCAAATCTAGAATGAGAGATGGCGTGAGTTCTGGCAAGTCAGCTGCAGCTTCCTGTGAATACAGTGAAGAAGGCTGGTGAACTTCAGTACAGTCCAGATTTTAAAAATCATACTTTCTCAGGGATCTCCACAAACTAGTGGGTGTCCTGGCTGTCCCTATGACAGCCTCTTCTACAAGTGAGGCCTCAAGTGAATTGCAGCTATCCTGATGTGCCTATAGGGGCACTTTGTATGAAAAAGGGTGTGTACTCCAAAACTGTTCTGTAGGTTCTTTGGCCATTTGCCAGAGAGTATGAAAGAATCCAACATAGGATTTTTATTAACATTAGGAGTTCATTTCAGTAAAATAAAGTATGATCCCAATAGGGAATCTTGAATTCCAACCTCCCATGTTCTATTTTGAAATAACCCCCTTCGTGAATATTTTGATAATTTTCTTTTACCTGGTGATCTCTTTAAGGTAGGTTTCAGATTTTGGCAGTACAACATAAAAGATTAGGATAAGCATTAATGTATGGGTGGAAAACTTGTTAATCTTAGAGTGAAGTTTGAGTTAAAAGTTGCTCAAACTTGCAATTGACTGGGAGGCCAAAGAATTTTAAGAAGATTCTCTCAAGACATGAGTAAGTTGTGTGATAATGGTGTGTTTGGCGTGTATGAATGGGAATTTATAAATGTTGAATTATAGGCTCCGACAATCATTGTCAGCAGGAGATCAAGCTGCAAATATTTATGTTTTAAACCTTAAATTATACAGCTAGTTAAGTCTTCCTAACAGCTAGTTTTTAATGTTAATGAGCACATTTTACCTAAGTTACCTTTTACATTATATTGAAAAAGATTCATTTTAAGCACAGATTAGAGATTGGGAATCTGCTTGGGGAAGAGGTCTTTCTGGATTCTTTCATACTGTAAAGGAAAGAAATTTGCCTTCTGGGGAATTGAACTAATTTCTAATCTAGCCTTTAAGACTAGAATGCTGAAAACAAAAATATGAAGGAAATTAAAACCCCTTATTAAGTTGATGTGTAAAAACATTGTTACTGGAAATTGATTGGGACTTGAGGCCTTTCTTCCAGAAAACAAGGACTTGATTATCAGGCCTATAGTAGGTCCTGAACCTTAATGCCATGTATTTGTACTTTTTAAAAATTGTTTCAATGAAAAATATATTAGTAATTGGAACTTCTGGTCCAGTTGGGAGTTCTTCCATTTGAAAAATGTGATATTTGTATGGAACTGTTTGAATCTTTGTATTTTCTAGTGCCCTCCCCACAATAGAATTGAAGCTAGAACTTTCTCTTTTGATAAAGGAACAATAAACATGTTATTTGTAAATTGGTATTTAGTAACTAGTGGTAAACTTGAAATACTAGAATGCATTATAAGCCTAATCCTAGGTAGTCATGAAAATCTAATTATTTTTGAACCTGTATTCCCATTGGTTTCCAATATATTTAAGTTATATTTTTCCTCTTTATCAGAGCTGCTTCTTATTCGGGGGCTACTTTTATTTTTATTGAGGTGTCATTCATAAGGAGCTAAAATGTTTTGATAAGGCTTCTTATAACTGTAGCTGGATGTTTTGCTCTAGTCTTCCAAGAAGGGCCATTTTATTTTTTAAAGTAGTCACTTATAATGGCATGTGGTCATTGACTTTGGGGGCCGTTTGCATTGCATGCTGATACAAATTAAAACCCCAGTTAACCTCATCACATGTCACTCCATGAATGTTGAAGATGGAAGGAATACCTTGCATGTAGTATACTGTCACTTCTGGACTGAAAAGCTGGGGGAGGAAATTTACTTTGCATATATCAAAAAAACTTAAAGCCAGTGTGTCAAGTTCAGTTGTTGACCTCAGCAGATGAAGTGAGCTGATAGTATTAATTCAGATTTAAGAAAATATCTGAATCTTGGTTTGTGTAGATTTATAATCTACATACTATATTAATTAAATCAGATAGCTTTTACAGTACCACATGTGTACATAGGCACCCTCCCATCCCCTTCTGCATCCATTAGTTACTGAACTTTCTGAACTGGCATTGTAACATAACAACAATGTTTTGTTGCACCAATTTTATAAACTTTTACAGTGCAATACGTGTTATTTTTCTGAGGCAAACCAAAGGTATATTTCTCAAGGTTCTTGCTGCTTTCTTTAGCAGCATTTGATGGCGGATCTTTTATATACATTTGTAATAGATAAAAATAGGCCAGATTGCAAATTCTTTTTAAAATCTTAAACCATGTACCAAGTTTTTGGTTGAAATTGTGTAGGATAAGTTAAACTTAAATTGCATTCTATTAACCAATGTGAGTGTATTTCTGTAAGCATAGTTATGTTGAAATAAAGTTTTAAAAAGCATGATGCCTTTGTTTATTATTGGTATAAGAGTCAAGGAAATTGAACTCAATATAACTGATAAAATTGTAGGTAGAAAGGTCATGCAATCTTTATTGTGTGGAGTAACAGTGCTGTGGGTAGCAGTCCAACACCTGTAATCAGATGTGCTGTATTTTGGGAAGTGGAGGTAGGGAGGAAACCAAAAAAAATTCACTAGTTTTACATAGTAATCACTTCCTACTTCAGGTAAGGATACAGTTTAAATGTTCATATTTCTTCAGTGGCAGGCCTGGGATTAGTACATTTTCGAGTATAAAAGAAAATGAAGGGGCTGGGGTCATAACTCAGTGGTAAAGCCTTGCCTAGAACAAGTGAGGTGTTGTGTTTGATCCTCAGCACTACAAAAAATAAAGGTATTGTGTCCATCTACAACTAAAAATATTAAAAAAAAAAAAAAAGAAAATGAAACCCCAGGGTTGGTGATACATCATCATCTTAGACTCTGCTTACCCTGAAGTGGAAAGAAACAGTCCAAGCTATAGGTTAAGGCATTAGGCGTTTTTGTTTGTGCAGTCCAGAGGGGAGAGTGAGTTGAGGAAACCCTGGCTATGCAAAGCAACAAGGCATTGTGATGGTATTTTGTTTTGATGCTGTGAGTAGTCTTGAGTCCTGAATCATGAGCAAAGAGATACTTGGTATTTGGATTGGTGAGTTACTCACTGTCATACCCCGCCCTCACCCATTAGTCCTTAATAGCAAAAAAGAAAAAATTTAAATTTTGAGACAGGGTCTAAATTTAGCAGGCTGGCCTGGGACTTGGAATCATCCTTTCCCAGCTTCTAAAGTTGCTGGAATTACAGATATGTACAGTTAACAGCACCATGAACTGCCTTTTTTTCCCCTCCCAATGCTGGAGATTGAACCCAGGGCCTTGTGCATGCTAGCTAGGCAAGTGTTGTCCCACTGAGCCACATCCCTAGTCCCACAATGAATTTCTAAAGCATTAATTTTTATTGGAATAGTAGAATCTATGACAAGGGAAATAGAAGTTTATACCTGACTAGGATATGTGGCAAGTTTATTTTTAATATGTAAATGCTATTGATAGTCTGATTTGGTAATCTTTATGTAACTTTTAAAAATATTTTTTAAGTCATTAATTTATGTTTAATGTACAAAGTTGTTCCCAGAGTCTTCCTCTGGTCCTTTGCTGTGTCCTCAGATCCTTACCCTGTTTTTACATGAACTATACATTCATGCTTTACCTGCTACACTAGAATTACATATTTGTTTATACTGAGAATTGAACCCAGGAGTGCTCTCTGCCACTGAGCTATGTCTAGATCTATTTATTGTTATTTTGAGACAGGGCCTGGCTAAATTGCTGAGGCTG